TATTCTTGTTAATTTTTGATGGCTTTCTGCTGACAGCTACACATCAGCTTCTCTGATTGGTTGTTGTGGCGTGTCGAGCAGCCAAAGTTCAAATTTGCAATTCTAGCATCTGCTGCTTGTGAAATATTGCATGCCTCAGATGCTAAAAAGCTAATGAGGCGCTGCCTCAGCTTCTCAGATTCTCCACGATGGGCTGCTTCTGCCGCTCGAGATGCAGTGCAGGACCTTTTGATGCGCCTTGATGCAGGTCAACTATAGACTTTGCATGTAAACCTGCTGCTTCTGCTGCTCATATCACTTTCGGTGTGAATGTAGCATTAGGGGCTCTTGCTGCTAGTTCTTGGCTAAACTTCTGCAGGGTGTTTAAAAACTGTGAGAATTTGGATAGGAAGTTATAAGTAGGAAAAGCAGGGCTGAGACTAGACTTGTGAGTGGAAACATTTGTAATATAAACCTGTTTTCATGGTGATGTTTTGTTTTCTTTGTTGGTGTGATTTAAGCTACAGTGGATGGGATTTTGTATGAATTTTGCTTGAAGTGTGATAATGCAGAGCAAACAAACTTTTTGTTGACTTTTTCCCACAACGAAAACAAGAAACAGACTTCTTGGTTCTTCCAAAGTAAAAACCTTAAATACATTTTATGATGCTATCATTCTATCTGATACTCTTTAGTATTCATTATCCACAGGGTTCCAGCTCCTGAACTGGTTCTTTTTGTCGTTGACGCATACTTGGTTTCACCGTTTGTCTGATCATGCCGTATGCCGCCCTGTCCTTGTGTTTTACCAACTGTGAGTTTTATATATCTAATATTATGTTAACGGCTAATTGGCTCTTGGAACCAGCTATGATAATAACACCTTTCGCACTATACTACAACTCTTATCTAATGGTTTTAACTAAGGCATGCTCAAAGACATCTAAAAACATACTCCAGTCAGCAGAATTAGCAGTAATTTATTCATTCTCTGACATATAATGTATTATCCAATAACAAGGACTTCACTGGCCAACTGTTGTTTTCTATGTGCAATGTGTCCAATCTTATTGTAACAGTTCCGATTCTTTTTTTCTATATAAGTATCAATGTTTTAAGTTTTTTTTGTTATTCAATCAATTTTAGGATAAGGAAAAAAAAAACATTGAATGTGAAGGTAAGAAAACAGCTGAGATCTTGATGAAAAAGCTTTGAATCCAGCAAGAAATAAAGGGATTGCAAAATATCACAAGTTTGTGCTTCCAAGCATGTATGTTGGTAAAGCGTTTTGGTAATTCCAAAAAAAGGTTAAGCAACTATTTCCAAGTGTTTTTCTTAAATCAGAGCTAATGGTTTTGTACTTAAAATTGTTTTGCAAAGTGGCCAAACTTAAAACAAAATGCATCAAAGACAAAGTTGTTTGTTGAAACATTTTAAGACAAAAGTAAGAATCCTATTTTTGCTTTAACTATTTTATAAATTATTTAGTTTGTCAGAGTTTGAGCTGCCAGTGATGGTCAGATTAATCCAGAATGTGAGCATAGATAATTTTTTTTTCAATCTAGATTAATCTCACTGTAATCTTGGAATTAATCTAAATGAATCTAGATTAAAATGGTTCATTTGAATTCTGCCAAAGGGATTCATAAATCAGAATCAGAATTACTTTATTAATCCCTTGCAGGAAATGTATTTCTTGCAGTGCAACCGTTTACAGAAGAGGGAAAATAAGATCCATCCATTTTTCATCACGCTTCGTCCCAGCTGTGGATGCTGGTGCCTATCTCCAGCTGTCTACCGGTGAGAGGCGGGGTACAACCTGGACAGAACGTCCCAGAGTACCCAGAGAGAACCCACGCATGCTCCGGGAGAAAATGCAAACTCCATGCGGAAAGGCTGGGAATTGTCCCTTTTTTGCTGCAAGGCAGCAGTGCTACCCACTGCCCCACTCAGCATCCCAGAAGAATCAGTTTGTAGGTACAAATAGAATATAGGAATAAAGGATAAGAATAAAATAAGATAAGGGTAAGAATAAATTACATAAGGATGATATGTGTGTGCTAACTAAATAGTAAGTAAAAGTAATTATTTTAACAGGTTTCTCGCATTAGACCAGGGGCTCATCTCCAGTTTCCAAAATGCATCACATAATACCAAAGAAGCTTCATTTTCAAAAAGTGTCACATTTCAGCGACATTCACCAAAGCAATCGTCAAGAAGCAAACATAATGTTGTGGTCATCGTTTGTCGTGTCGTGGTAAAATTAAATTCAAAATTACATAACATCGCCTACCTGAAGCAAAAATAGTGCAGTTCCCAGCTGGCATTGATAAGGTGTACAGTAAAGCCGGGGTAGTTATCATTATTGACAGAAATACAGCGTTCGACCATCAGTGCTAAACACATCACCTCGACCAACTTCTCATCTTTCTCTGGGGCGTGTTGGTCATGTATTCTCCTCATGATAGTTCACCTCGCAGGTAGTTTTTAAGATGGCTCACCTGTGGATGGCTCACCTCAACCACGCTGATGAGCGTTCTTAAAAAAATACATTTTTTAAACGAACCCCGGATTTTAGCACTTCACGTTTTATGCGTTAAAATGTGGCCTAGACACAAGATTGATTCATTCACGCCCTGAGAAAAATGTGGGAATAGATTAACTGCGATATTTTTTTTATCGCCTGTTAAGAGTCTGCCGTTAAAGCAGCCATTAACGCCGATGACGGCACACAACCAGTTTAATTCCTGATAATAAAAAAAAATCGAATCCAGAAACTCATGTTCAGTAACCGAATTAAAAGATAAAACTATTTCAAGCTTGTGATTTCAACAAATTGCTATAATCATTGTGTTGTACAATAGAATCAAAATGCGTTTTGAGATGTTAACAAGGTTGTGGTAAAAAAAAAAAAACCTTTAAAGAAAGATTATCAAAGAAATATTAGAGTTCTTGGAAGAATTTTCTTCCCGCATTGTGAAAAATACCAATTAAATCATTGAGGATGGAAGTAAATGGGGGTGAAGAGTGAGAATTGAGCTCTGAACCAACAAATTGGAACTGAATCAAGAACTGTGACTCATCATTAGCTGAAAGCAACGCATGGCCACAAAATCATATTGGGAAATAGGTCTCATGCTCTACAAAACATTAGCTGAAAAACGAACCCTTACGTGAAGGGAATGCCCATTCCATGCCTTTTTTTTTTTTTTTTTTTACATGCACTCCGTTTATTTTCTGTTAAACAGAAAAATACCCTGCAGACTGTGAGGAGGTGTAGAAAAATAGCTAGAACGTCCTCACATGACCTTAATGGTTTCTATAATGTCAGCCTCTAAAAAAAAGCCTGCTTTATTTTCCCTAACTTAAAATATCCCTGGAGCAGCTTTTCTTAAATTAGGACACAGATACATTCTGTCACTATGCAGAACAAACCAGTTCACAAAATGTCATAAACCGGCAGCCTCACAGATGCCAACAAAGAAGTGTTATCACCGCCACATGAACAATATACAGCATTGCTGAAAACAAAGTACTCTTTACAATCCCTCTTTTTATTTTAGGTATTCTACTTCATGTTTGAACAAAATCAAAGCGATAGAATCCCCAGATCACACAAATATAATTTTAACTATATCAGCACACACAACTGATTCCAGGTACATTTATACAATAAAGACACCAGACTGGATAATATCTGCCTAAATCATGAAACACTCTGTTGTAGCTTCAGTCAGTTTCCAGATTTTCCAGGCAGGTCCAGTCACACCTGCTGGTGTGGAGCACACACACTTTAACTATGACTCTAAATATAATTATTGTAACCATCTGTCTTAGGCGTGGAATAAAGCTAAAGCTAAGATTAATTCACTTGTTCTGCAGTGAGCTACTCCCCAAGAAAAAAAAATCATAAAATGACTTTGATTGTTGTTGCCAGGAGTTGACAGTTAATCTAGACTTAGACAATTTTTGTCATTTTGTATACACAGAGTGAATACAAAACATAATTTTGTTTTGTAAAGCCTTCATGATGTTACCATTTCTTAAAGTGCAGCAGTGATTAAATGTAGTGTGGAGAAAAAACATGGAGCAAAAGAAAAAAAAAGTTCAGTATGTATGGTGCAGTTATGCAGTGTTTTGGTTTGGTGTTGTCACTGTGATGCAGATGCAATTAACCCAATTTATGCTAAAGCCAGAAACCTAGATATATAACAGAAACTTCCGTTGGTGATTAAAACTCCATTCGAATGACCAATCAAACTTCTGGAACAAAGTGCAGATATTTGCATATGAGCAAAACCATACTGTACTGGTTTTCAAGCATGATGGTTGAGGGTCATGATTTGGGCCTGTTTTGCTTTTTTGAATTTTAATTAAACTATTATGTCTTTGGGGCGTCAAATTATTCCAAGTTTAGTCTAATCCTGGCTAACACGGGTGACAATCTGCAGCAGAATGACTGAGTACAAAAATATCAAGGTGATTTAATGGCCTAGTTTAAATTCAGATTAACTGGTCTGATAGAAATGCTGCAGTGGGACCTTAAGAAAGATACAGGAAGAAAGAAGGAGTCGGTCAGAATTCCTTCCCACTGATGTGACAGATATGAACTCAAGCAGAAACAGAAACAGCAAAATACTGCTCACTAAACTGGTTCTATAAGCTTTAGATTGCAGATAGGTTATCTTAACTGAATACGCCTTGTTTCATTCCAAAAAATAAAAAAATAAAAGATTAATCTCTCGCTTTGAACAGAAAGCAATACAGTCAACACGAATATGCCTCAAGTTTTTCTGCTTATGAACACATGGAAAACATCTTCAAATATTATATTGTTGAAATCTTTACAGGTTTCCTTTTAACTCCTAAGAGAAATATATTATTATTCTATCTCATTAGAAAACGCCTGCTTCTAAAAGGTAACTTAATTATCATTTTTCTCAGTAATAATGAGTGCATTCCTCTGACTGTAGAAAAAGGCTTTAGGTTATGTTTGGAGATGGATGGCTGTTCACACTCACCAGCAGAAACCTCTGATCTCTGTCGTCCTGTGCTATGGAGGGTCAAATGAAGCCAGCTGTTGCTGATCTGCAGTTCTAGTTTCTGTGGACTTGGGTTGAGCTGCACAGAGAGCAGAAGCCCGTCGGGGTTCCAGGTCCTGAACTGGAAGCGAACAGTGAATTCCCCTGTGGGGGCAGTAACAGACGGGAGCGACAGGAAGCTGCTGCTCGAGCTCAGGAAGGTGCAGGCCACCAGCTGGGGTGGCGAACATGAGAAGGTCACGTTGCCCTGCAGAAAAAAAAGGGGAGAAAGATTTACATGAATCTCTAGCAATGTGCCAGCAGAAGACAAAGGCTGCAAATGTCATGTAAAAACTATAACCTTTTTTTAATTATTGGCAAAACCTTTGTCGGCTCTAATTACTTGGGTTCGGTTTAACATAATAATCACAGGAAAAGTGGCTGTTAAAATATGTGATTTGGAAATGAAAACAAAAACAAATAAGAACCAAAATAATTCTGTGGAATATTTCACAGTTGAGAGATTGAGACAAAACTTGCAAAAAATATGAGAACAAATCTGCATAGTTGTTTTACCCAGATTTTCAAAAGATAAATCAGTAAATAAAAAATTGCATTTAAAAAAAAAGAAGAAAATATATATTTTTACAGCATTTCCCTAATGTCTAATAACATTAAACTGCAAGCAAACATCATCAGAAGAGAGCTAAAATGAGAATGCAAAAGAGGCTGTTACTTTTCATTCAGCACCATCCTTTGGTGAATTGTCCACTTGTAAAGTCACAAACATCCCCCTGGGCTGCAGCTTTTCATCCAATCCAAGCATACATATAATCTTAATTGTGTGTCGGCTGCAGTCAAAATCCAACCAGTCATGGCTGCTGAGGTCAGACTCCTATCAGTGCCACAGCCCGCAGGGCAGCACTCAGCAATCACAACTCTCAGACTCTCAATGTGATTCCCTCCCATCAGCCCCGGGGAGATGGTCCCATTGAAATTCCATTACAGCTTCCATCATTCCCGTCTCCTCCACCTCTGCCTCTATAGTCAGCAAAGGCCTTTAATGCAACAGTTAAAGGCGGTGGGTGTCTCAGATGAGATGTGGCTTGTAGCTCTTTGACTGACCTGTCTGATTGGTGTGGGAGGAGACTCTCAAACTGCACTCAGACTTAATCACAGAGTAGCCGGGTTCATAATGGCTCTAATGATTGTTTATTCTCCATTCATGCCTCTGACAATCTTTATTCTATGTCTGGGTGATCACAAATCATCAGCATAGGGGAAACTGGAAAGCCACGGAAAATCAGTCAGAACCTAAACATAGGGCCACCACAAGGCCAACCTGTTTAAATGATGGCCTGTTGGTGGCACTATATTAGTTTAATGACAACATTTAAGCTATGTGAGAGATTTGCATAATAACTGTAACTTCAGCAGACATGCTTTGATAAAAAGGCTGGGACTGCGATTTGCCCACCATTAAAGCTGACCAGCCTTTTGGAAATTAAACAAATCCTCTGTTTATCCAATCATGGAACACACCATAACAGGTGATACCAGGTTGCTTGATAACACTGATAACACAGTTGTCTTTGTTTGTTTTTGCTGTTCCTAAGTCAAGAAGACTCAAAGTCTGCTACTTTCAGTAGTTACATGATTCTGCCTTTTCTGGACTTTTGTATTCTCTCTTTTCTTTTTCATTTTTAAGTTACACTTTGATTAATGTTATTCTGCGTTTTCTAGGTCACTGGTTTCATTTCCATTTTGAGTCATTCTATTTGTTTTCTGGTTGCATTTGAGCACTTATATATTTCTTGTTTACTTTCTGTTGCCACCTTGTGCCAGTCTACTTTCCTCTAGCTCCCTTCTAGATCATTCTGTCCACAGCTGCTCCCAATCAGTCTATTGCTCCATACTTTGTTCTTTGGCATATCGGTAACTCCTCTGTAGTTACTGTTTACTGGATCCTCTTTATTTCTTCATTATGTAGGTTTATTCCTCCCTCTCAGTTTTTGGTTCCTGGGGTTTTTGTCAATTGCTTCTGAATTTTGGCTTCGGTATTTTTATTTCTTGATTAAATTTTACAAGAAATCATCTATGCCTCTCCTTCTCTGCATTCAGCAATTATCCACTGATCCTGACAGGAAGATTCTTTCTTACTGAAAATAATAAAAGTATCACTTGAAAGAAAATATCTCAGCATATTTACATTTTCACAAAAATAGTAATAAATATTTGATTGTTTATTATTAATAAATGGGAAAGAATATACTGTCACTATAGCAATCAAACACTATAACTGCTGAGCAGCTTTCTGCATGTTTACAGCAGCCTTTTGATCATTGGTTATGAGCTCTCATCTCACATTCTCTATCAGATTCTACATTGAACACTGGCTGAACCAATTTAAAAGCTTTACATTACCTCCTGTCAGACAAAAACTTTTGGTCACATCAAAACACTGTTTTTCTAGTCACCTCAACAAGTGAGAACAGGATTTTGAGCAGATAACAGGAAGATTGGTACTGTAAGAAACATGCTCTGCATTAATATTTAGAGCATTAAAGCTTTTTCATAGAACATACCAAAACATGCAGCCTTTTGAAAACATCAAAGGGGAATTTAACTTAGGAATGGAACGGTTTATGAAAACCGTCCGAACCGTTCGGTTCGACTGTCTCGGTTCGATTCATGTGTGTTGCGTTCGGTTCATGCACTGCTCCTTTTTCTCATAGGCGAAGCGTTTACACTCCAGAGCAGAAGGTGGCGGTACTGCGACCAAAGCCAACCACCAGTAGTAAGCAAGAAGAAGAAGAAGCGAAGCAGCGTAGCCGGGTGTAGCAGAAAAAAA